CATCAGGTGTCCTACATGCCTAGAAAGAGCTTGGCATATCGCAGATACTCGATAAATATTTGTAGAATGAATTCATTAACATGTAAGTGACTGAAAGGGCTCAACAATTCTTTCCCATCTCATATTTAGAGAATCATGGATATGTCAGGGTTATAGAGTCAGAAAAGACTTTCCACAGAAAAAATACAAGTTCATGGTGTGATGGACATTGACATATGTTTGAAATTCATTAAGGGCATGTTTATGGACACTTCTTATAGGCAGTTAAAAATATAGATCTGGATCTCAGCAAAGAAGTCACAGTTAAGGATACAAATTTTCAAATCATAAAAAAATTGTTTTTACATCTGTTTTAAAATGTATGGTCTGTTCTAATGTGTCTTAAAATGGAGGGAAAGAAGACAAGGGGGCTTCTAGGGTCAAATACCAGGCTATAAAACATATAGTGAGTGCATTTGGTACGAATTAAAATTATTTAAACTCTGATCTGACTTGAGTCAGTCTTGAAAGAATTACAGTGGAAATTGTAACACAAACCGAATTGTATTTTCTTCTCCACCCTCACCCCCTTTGATAATTAATCCTGAGCACAGATCTAAGATCTTTTCCTAGAAAAAGCAGAAAAATACTCATTCATAGTTAGTAGTATTCCAAAGTCACGGTACATGAAAGGTTATAGGAGTTTTGAAATCTGGCAAAGTTAATTATAGCCTTACAGCTCTGGATGACACCCAAGAAAAGTCAATTTCAAACAAAGGTCAGGGTTAGTTTGAAAGTCATATCATACTTCAGCTTGAACTCGTTTGCATTAGATAATGAAGGTCCAGTGAGAATCAGATTTCATGATTGTTTTAGGTACTTATAATTCTTTAGATCTTATAAAGCCATATGACCTTTTAAAATACTATTATCTTTATGTGTTTTCAATAAGTGAGCCTTTTTTTAATAAGCAAAAAACTGAATAAAGAAGGATGTGATCACTTTCCTCTCTGAACTGTGTTTATATGGCTCAGGTACCGCAATGCAGGACGTCTCCTGCAGGACATCTCCCCTGATGTGCAGACCAAGTTCTATGGAGCTCTGAGCATGTTAATTTTGCAAACTCATATTTGTACTAGGGCGATAAATTCATGTTTGTACTAGAAAGATAAACAGTCTTCAGTTTCATTGGCAGAGAAGCAGAAGATCGTTGATTTTAGGAGAGTGTCTGAGAGGGTATGAGGGAGAGCTGCCCAAGACAGTTTCCTGGTCATGGCCCATGGATGCTTGTGGGATATAGGATGGCGTGCTGTTCCACAATTCAGAGTATTTTGTTTAATCCTAGACTTTGAGGTGAATGAATTGCTAATATTAAAACCTTCTTCACATTTGAAGTACTCTTGGTCACTTAACATTTTTTGTTGCTGCCTCATTTAACTTGTTCCTATTTTTTCCCCTTAGATAAGAGCACCAAGGAAATACCTTTACAAGCTTTTCTTCTCAACTGTGGAAGCAAATCAATATCTAATGGTTTTTGTGCAAATATCAGTAAACAGATTTTATTTTGCCTCTATAAAACTTAAAAACCTTGTGCCATTGGGAAACTGGAGAGGAAGACTAGTAACAAAATTATTAATGAATTAAAGTAGAAATAACGATAATACTAGTGGCCCAATAAAAAGTCTGAGTAATCAACTATTGGTAGTAAAGAAAAAGAAGCTGCTACCATCTGATTTAGGGTGGCAGGTACAAAAAAATGTAATAAATAGTGCATGCAATTCTTTGATTCTTTGCAATTTTCTAGTTCTTGGGCTTTTGGGGTGTAGATGTGAGTAGACATTAGAAGAGGGTTAATCCTCCAGATCTATTAATCTAAAATACAAATTTCATGAATACCTTCAGATATGAATACGTTTGGGTTGAGTAGCATAAATAAGTAAAAGGATGTTCTTCCATATTTGAACCTTGTAGATAGGAATTTCCACTCCCCCTTATTACTGTGTATTTCATTGAGCTACTGTTGACTTCAACTAGACAGACAATGGCTTACAGCAAGAGCTGGGGATTAGAGATTGGAAAGGGTATAGCATTGCCACTTCTGGAGTCAGCAGAAATAAGTGCATTCAGGATGAACAAAATTTTGTCCCAAGAATATAACTGCTTAACACATTAAACTATTAGGAAATGGTCTAGTTATGTATATGTAGTTGTGTATATATGGTTATGTAAATACTTACTTGAAATCTTTCTAAATCACTTTATGATATAATTTTTGAAAAACTTCTGCTTGGAAACTTTTATGGAATCCATTTGCTTATGCTTCAAGCAAAATTATATGGTAATGATATCATATTAGACTCAATCCAGTGACAGCACATTTTTGCAAAATTTTTTATTGGACCATGTGCAAATTTTTGAAGAATTACATCTACATGGATCGAACGAGCAGCCTTGCTGTTATGAGCACTGCTATGAGCTCTAACCAACTGAGCTAAGCAGCCGCCCCTCTACATGCATTATTTTTCATGAATAAATATCTATTTTTAAGTGGCAAAAAAAGCACAAGCCCTGATTTATATATGGGTGAGGATAATTTGTAAATCAGAGACCATAGTACTGATTTCTTCAGCAATAGTCTCATCACAAGAATACCTCTCTTTAAAAATGTGTAACATTTCTGTACAAAATAAAACTATACAGAACAGATAATTTTGCATTTTTTAAAATATGGATATAGATGTTTTGCTAATAAGAAAATTATTATTGGAGGAGTCATCTTTAAAGTAGCAACCAGTTTGGATATCACCAATTATTTATGGATTGAGATCTTTATTTCACAGAAATTGTGTGTGAAAAATGATCTGCAGAACAAAGGAAGTGCTATGTGTAGCAATAAATTCTCGCCTCTCTTGTGAGCAACAACAGTTGTTGCTGCCACAGCTTTGTAGAACAGCACCTGTCCCCAACAGAGGTGCTTATTTCTAGAAATTAAAAGCTGGAAGTAAAAGCTTGTGACTGTTACTTTAAAGCATGTGATCTATAAGGTCAACGAAAAATAAAATTTATTTTGATTTAAAAGCATGGTGTCAAGTGGTCAACAAAAGCTTCTGCTTTTGATTGGTCTCCATGCTAACGTAAAACACTTTTTAAACAAAATATTTTTGTTGGCTTTCTTTCTGTGATTCCTATATTCTTTTTAAAAATTTTTCTGGATTAAAATAGAAGAAACACATGCCATTTCATTTTTTTTTAAGTTTATTGGGGCGACAATGGTTAGTAAAGTTACATAGGTTTCAAGTGTACAATTCTATAATACATCATCTCTAGTTCACATTATGTGTTTACCACCCCAGAGTCAGTTCTCCTTCCATCACCATATATTTGACCCTGTTTACCCTCATCTACCACCCCTTGTCCCCTCACCCTTTGGTAACGACTATCATCTGTGTTAATGAGTTTTTGTTTCTTTATTTGTTTATCTTGTTTCTTTGTTGTTTTCAGTTTTATATCCAACATATCAATGAAATCATATGGTTATTGACTTTTTCTGTCTGACTTATTTTGCTAAGCATAATAATTTCAAGATCCATCCGTGTTGTTGCAAATGGCAGTATTTCATCTTTTCTTATGGCAAAATAGGGGAGGCCATTTCATTTTTAATGAAGGTTTCTCAGAGGTGCTATTTTAAAGAACTCCTTACACAAACTAAAATGCCTTCTAAGATAATTGTATATTATTTTCCATTTTTATATTGACTTTAACAACCTACAATGGTTATAATGTATATATGACATATATTTCTTTCTTTTTTTTTTAAAAGATTTTATTGGGGAGGGGAATAGTGTTGGGGAATTGGGTAAGGGGAACAGACAAGTTGCTGTCCTTTTGTTCTTCCGTCTAGTTGTGGAGGACGTCGCTTTACTGGCCCATGTTGGTATTATCATTGTGCTCCTCCTGGGTGAAACAGATTGGTTGCCGGCCACAGGACGGCACTCATGCCGGCTGCCAGCCACTCACGGTAGCTTATGGCAACCCACTGCAACTTCACTGCAGCCTATGCATCGCTGGCGACTCACGGCAGCCCAGCTCCAGGTCGAGCTGTTGTTCACCATCTTAGCTGTAGAGGGCAGTGTCACTGGCCCTCATGTAGGATCTGAACCAGGGCCCTGCTCAGAGCTGGCATCCCAAGCCAACTCTTAACCAACGTGCCACTCGGCCTGCCCGACATGTATTTCTTAGCTAAGTATTCTATAAACAATACAGTAATCCACTTCCCAAGATGTCAAATTATTTGTCCTATATATGAAATATTTTCAGACATTTAGAACTTTTATGACATACATCTACCTGTATTACATATAAAATGTGTTGTGGTCACTACTCACCAGATACTTAAAAAAACATAAGACTTCTTATTTTAAAATATGCATATAATTTCTTCCACTAAGCATAAAAATACCATTGAATTAAATAGCAGTTATGCTGCCTACAGAAGGGGCTCATGGCCTCTTAAAAACTTCACTAAGTTAATTGGGTTGTAATAATACCTGCCTATCTCATTGAATTGCTTTTAGATCCAGGAACTAATATTTGCAGGAGTGCTGTTTAATCTGTAAAATGTATATGGATGAAGGTGGTATTCCACAGGGGCCAACTAGGTACCTGAGCATAAGTAGAAAATTGCCTCTCAGTAGGCATTGATTCTACTTCATGAGCACTAAGTATTTTCTTTGGGGATTCAGGAGTCATGCTCTCCTCAGTGGTGAACAGTATTTTCTCAGAATTTGGGTGATTGGGTGGTTTGTTAGAGAGTGGGGACTTATGAGCCTACTGGTTCTGAAAAAAAGGCTATGTGGATAGAATAAACACTGATGTAATTCTAGAGAAAGATCAGACACATAGACTTGCTAAGAGCCTTCTCGCCACCAAATTGGATCTAATCTTCCAAAAACAAAAAGTGAATAAATAAAAGAAAGCTAATATTGAAATTTTGCTTATAAATAAAATGTTGTATTTTTCAGAACGCTGCAAATGTAAGCCTATTAGAGCTACACAGAAGACCTATTTCCGAAACAATTACAACTATGGTAAGGATAACTTCACGGTTGATCTATAAACTGCTATGTTAAGAAAGGTGTGTGTGTAAATTAGTAGAACAGTTTAAGAATAAAGCTTAAAAACAAGTAAACAAGGACAACTTTAAGAGCATACCTGTCCCAAATAAAATATCTGATGTTGGCAAAATTCTTAACAAATGCTTGATTTTGAAGCACATCAGGCAGCATTGGTGGCATCTTAGAACCATGTTGTTAAGTACACAGAGATACGTTTCAGACCAGATGAGAGGGACTCTTCTCTCCCTGGGAAGCTGAGGAGGATATGGGCATGAATGTTTGGAGCTGCTTGGGTCATCAGTTGTGCTTTTTAATTCACTGTGGTGAACAGAGCAGCGTTTCGATGTATAAGGGATGGTTGGTTAATAGTATTAAATTTAGTTTCTTCAATCACTCTATCTCATGGAAAACATTGACAGACTTGGAAAGTAACACTTACAAAGCTGTTAGTATTCATTATTAAGAAAATATTTTATTATCCAGCTTGACCTAGAAATGTGACATTCTGATAAAATATTAATTGAAGAGCTACCAATTCAAATGTAGCTGACAAACTTACTGAAAGAGGAAAAGCCTGCTGTCTCTGTACTAAGCACCATGCTATGCAATTTCCATATACTCTCTTATGTAATTTCCTCAACTACCCTATGACAAGTATTATTATTCTAATTTTATTAGTGATTATTGAAACTAAGTTGTCCTTTCTTTGATTACTCAGAATGTACTTTTGGGTACTGGCATGCTTCAGAGTCACAATTTTCAATTACTGTTTATTTAGAAGGGTCAGTTATTAGAGTTTTCCAGTTGATAAAATAAGGGACAAATAAATATTTGCTGTATTCCATCAGCATTTTATTGTGACTTTTTTTCCTAGCATTTATGAGATTAATGAAGGTCATGTTACTACCTCTGTAGAAGATTGTTGATACTGAGTCAATAAATAAACATGACAATTAAATAGATTTTGGAAGAGAACTTGATTGTTAAAATGAGACTTTTGTTATTGAATTTACATGCCCTATTTTAGAGTCTATAGGACATATGCAGTAGATTTATTTCTACTTTTGTACTTTTGGAAATTGGAAGGAGAGAAATGGCTAACACTCTATAAGAGTAATCTTTGATATCTTTGAAAATACTGTGTGTTAAAGGTATAAAGTAGGAAATTATCAATGTAGGTATAGCTCTTTAAAATAAATACACGTAGTTTCCCAGTGTTTCTTCAATGGATTCAATTTTTATTGTTTGCTTACTGTTTGTCTTATGAAGGATCTAGTTTCTCTTAGTCAATGGTGGATGTGATTTCTTTTCAAGGTTGAAAGGTCATGTTTATCTACAGAGTCCAACACCGGGCTGCCCATCTAAGGACCTAGTCCTCTACAAATTGATATGAAAAATCACAAGGAAAAGGAGGTCTTAATTTTTAGATTAGCTTTTTAATATTAAAAGCCACTATATGAACTTTTAAATACAATTATACTGAAGACAAAAGCATAATAAAAATGTTATATCAGGGAAATTTAGTTGAGTTTGTATTTATTTTACTTATCAATTTTTACTTTATCCAACTTAATGCTGCAATGGTTGGTGTTACTATTTTTGTTAAAAGTCAAAATACTACTGTTTACAAGGCATGGAAAGAGAATATCTTTGATAAGTTTGCTGTGTGAATATTGTAATGTATTATAACAGATCACAATTAATAGACAGTAGATTATTTCTTTCTCGTAGCCAAACAATATCCAGGTTGTCTATAGTTTAAAGATTTTCACTTGCCTGGGGCTTACTCAGCTCTACCTTGGGGGAAGGCAGGCACTAAAATGATTAAATAGAAGGCAGAACTCTGAAAAGAAACTACATTTCAAATTCCAAAATATGTTGATTTTTTTTTCTTAAATATTTACATATGTCTACTGAGAAAACACAGTGGGGGTGGGAGCAAATGATAATTCATAAAAAACCTCTGCTTCCTTCAGATTAATTCAGGTAAAATCTCTTGAGCTTTAACAAAATTACTTGACTAATAAGGTAAGTCTTGTAGAGAGATATTTATTTTGGAGTGGGTACATGCACTAAAAATTTCTAATGAAAATAGTAGACACATTGGGTAAATAAATCATTAGTTTGAGAACATTTGCACAGTTCACTAATCTCTAATGGTTGATGGATGCTATCAAAGCACATTTACATAAACCAGGACACAAAAAAATGTCTGCTAGCTGGGGTTGTAAATTTATCATCTGAGTCTCCCAAATGACATTTCAAAAAGGGCAATCTTATCTTTTGTGAAAATACAGACTAGAGAGAACGCTGATAGAAAGGAATTCCTTTGCTTACGAGTCGCGTTGAGCAAGAACAGCAGGCAGTGATATTTTGTTTGTTGTAAGTTCTCATACTTGAGACAACTAATTTTCTGAAGATTGATATACCTGTGAAGCAACAATGAGGTTATGTCCTAAAGTTTTTAGAATTAGTAACTTAATTTCTGTGCTCTGTTTTGTCGTACCGGTGGAATGTTATTGAATAAGTATGGAGTTGGGGTATTGATGGGGGAAATGGTTTATTAGTTGGGTCTATATTTTCATGGATTACTTTTTTCCATTCCTTTGTAGTCCATAACACCTAAAATATGTGGGAAGGAACTCAGATGAAAGTGGTTTGCTGATATGTGCCTAAGAGGCTTTCAAAAGTAGATTCATTTAGATCCATTCTGTTTTCCTCTGTTTAACATCTAGATATTAACCTAGAGCAATGAGGGTGCCTGGGCAAAAGCCACTGGCTTCTTGCTAATGGACATTTTTACTTCATCTTAGGTTTTGGGCTTTTTCTAACTGCCCTTAAAAACAAAACAAAACAAAAACAAACAAACAAAAAAACAAAACTCATTTACTAGAAGTAGGAATCTAAAGAATTTGGCTCTTCCGAAGGAGAGAAATAGAGAAAAGAAGCAGAACTGTACTTGCTAGATTATGAGTCAAATATTTTCACTTTGCCACTGAACTGATGATTTTTAAGGCAGTTTGTCTTTATGTTGAGAAGTGAAGCTAGCAATGGTAAAATAAATTGGGTGCTAGTATAACCATTGAGAGAGGTAGATGAATGCATTTAAGTTGTTAGACCATATTCCATAGCACGTAATGGGAGTGTATGTTGGAGTATCTGACTTCAAAGCAGATGGAGGAAACAAGATATACTGGTGACAGTTTAATTAAAAAAAAAAGTAGTATACTTACTGGAGAGTATAAAAGATAATCTACCCTGAAACAAAGGAAGAAAGGAACTGATGTCTGAACAGTGAGCTAAGATAAGGAAGGTGAAAAGATCACAGAACCAGATGGGAAGTACAATAGAACAGGACAACTTTATATTATGAAAGAGACCCCCAACTCCTTTAGAAAATCCATGAATAGACCTGATGACAGAATACTGACAAGGAAAGAAAGCATATTTAAGTACTAGGTCTTTTCATATAGTGAAATTAATAAAGTTTAAATTCCTGTTGGAAGCAATTGAGAGTGCACACACACACATACACATACCTCCAGAATGAAAATTTGGAGGAAAATTACATCAGATTCACCCAACCTTTGATTATCTAAATGAATTTTTCTCAGTGAAATACATACATATATGCGTATATACACACATACGTATGTACACACATTGGAAGGGGATCAGGGCTGAACATTTAAGGGGACAGGTGTGTTGTGTAATGTGTCACTCACTATCATCTAAAACAAAAATACCTGGTTGACTTTTCCTCTCCATTCATTGAGCATCAAGTGGAGAAGAACTGACTAGAAAGAAACCCACTTATCTGTTTTGAACGTGGCACCTATTGGGTATCATATTACCATATCAGCTTTATTGTCTTCTATCCAGTCATTCGGGCTAAAGTGAAAGAGGTCAAGACCAAGTGCCATGATGTGACTGCAGTAGTCGAGGTGAAGGAGATTCTGAAAGCTTCTCTGGTAAACATCCCGAGGGACACCGTTAACCTTTATACCAGCTCCGGCTGCCTGTGCCCGCCACTTAATGTTAACGAGGAGTATATCATCATGGGCTATGAAGATGAGGAACGCTCCAGGTAATTTTGAAGATTCACAATAACTTCTCTGCCTATCCTGTCCTTGCGTTTTTCTACAGATCTTACTCTGGGGTTCTTCCCTTGGGACCTGTCTACCTTCTAGGGGATTAAAGATAAGTTTTAGTTGGGTCCCTCAAGGTCATGTATTGGATAGAAATGTGTATGTGTGCATTTTGCGGGTGTGCATTTTCCTGGGGACAGGGATAAATTCTTAGTGTTCTTAAAGGGGTCCATGATTCCCAAATAGTTAAGAATTACTGTTCTAAACTTGGCTATCTGATTCTAGAATAAATAGGTAGGTTTTTCTTGGAAATAATTCCTTGTATTTTTCAGTAATGTGTTTTAACTTTTCAAAAATGGTTGCTTCTTTGAAAAATACAGATTACTGTTGGTGGAAGGTTCTATTGCTGAGAAATGGAAGGATCGACTTGGTAAAAAAGTTAAGGTAAGCCTATATTTTATGTTCAAAGTGATACACAAAAAAATAAAAGCAGGAAACCAGCCACTTGTCATTTAAACAAATTAGATGCCCTCAACTATGTGAGAAATATGAAAACCTGATATATACATATATTTAAAATTCCAAGGACCGAGTTTGTCTTTAAGGTCTGTTTCACGTAAGGAATATGTGTATCAGAGATCTAACTACAGTTGCCTAACTTTTCACAGTGAGAAGTGTAGCTGCAATTCGTGCAGTCCTGGTAAGGATAACTCCACATTGTCATTAGATATCCAGGCTCCTTCCAGCTTACTGCCCCACCATTTTTTTTTTATAATTAGCAGCTTTTAAAACAAATTTTGTATTATGAAAATTTTCAAATATGTATGTGCACAAAATTAGTGGACCCCCAATATGCCTATCAACAATTAACAAGGTTTTGCCAAATTATGACATCATTCCTTTGTTCTTTGCTAATGTATTTTTTAAATTTTTAAAAATTTATTTTTCAATTTCTGTTGACATACAATATTATATTAATTTCAGGTGTACAAAACACATAGTGGTTAGACATTTATATACTTCACAATGTGATAACCCTAATAAGTCTATTACCCATCTGACACTGTATATAGTTATAATATTATTGATTATATTCCCTATGCTGTACTTTACATCCCTGTAATTAAAAAAAAAGTTATAGTTGACATCAATATTATTATTTTATATTAGTTTCAGGTGTACAGTGTAACAGTTAGATATTTACATAGTTTGGGACCTCCCTGGTAAATCTAATACACACCTGGTACTATACATAGTTTTTACAGTATTATTGACTATATTCCCTATACTGTACTTTACATCTCTATGACTATTTTGTATCTCCCAATTTGTCCTTTCCAAACTCTTCACATTTCTCATCCAGCCTTTCAGGCCCTCTCCCATCTAGTAACCATCAATTTGCTTTCTGTATCTCTGAGTCTGTTTCTGTTTTGTTTGTTTATTTTGTTTTATATATTCAACATATAAGTGTGATCATATGGTATTTGTCTTTCTCAGTCTGACTTATTTCATTTAGCATAATACCCTCTAGGTCCATCCATATTGTTTCAAATGGTAAGATTTCATTCTTTTATATGGCAGAGTAATATTCTATTGTATAATATATTTGCACCACAATTTCTTTATCCAATTGTCTCCTGATGGGCATTTCAGTTGCTTCCATATCTTAGCTATTGTAAATAGCACTGCTGTGAATATAGGGGTGCATGTATCTTTTTGAATTAGTGTTTTGGACTTCTTTGGATAAATACCCAGGAGTGGAATTGCTGGGGCATAAGGTAGTTCTATTTTTAATTTTTTGACAAACCCCGATTCTGTTTTCCATAGTGGCTACACCAATTTGCGATCCTAATAACAGTGCCGAGGGTTCCATTTTCTCCACATCCTCACCAACGTTTGTTGTTTGTTGATTTATTGATGATAGACTTTCTGACAGGTGTGAGGGGATATCTCATTGTGGTTTTAATTTGCACTTCTCTGATGATTAGTGTTGTTGAGCATCTTTTCATATGTCTATTGGTCATTTGTATGTCCACTTTGGAGAAATGTCTATTCAGATCATCTGCCCATTTTTTACTTGGATTGTTTGCTTTTTGGTGTTGAGTTGTATGAGTTTTTTTTTTAAATAAATTTTGGATATTAACTCCTTATAAGATGTATCATTGGCGAATATCTTCTCCCATTTAGTAGGATGTTTTTACATTTTGTTGATCACTTCCTTTCCTGTGCAAAAACTTTTTAGTTTGATGTATTTCCATTTGTTTACTTTTTCCTTGTCCGTGGAGATACATCAGTAAAAATATTACTAAGGGTAATGTCTGAGAGTTTATTGCCTATGTTTTCTTTTAGGGGTTTTATGATTTTGGCCTTACATTTAAGTCTTTAATCCATATTGAGTTTATTCTTGTATGTGGAGTAAGAAGGTGGTCCAGTTTCATTTTTTTTTTGCATGTATGTGTCCAGTTCTCCCAGCACCATTTATCGAATAGACTGTCTTTACCCCAATGTATATTCTTCCTTTGTCATAGATTAAATGACTATATAGGCATGGATTTATTTCTGAGCTCTCTATTCTGTTCCATTGATCTATGTGTCTCTTTTTATGCCAGTATCATGCTGTTTTTTTGTTTTTTTTGTTGTTTGTTTTTGTTTTTTGTTTTTTTACCATAGCCTTGTAGTATGATTTGATGTCAGGTATTGTGATAAGTCCAACTTTGTTCTTCTTTTTCAAGATTGCTGTGGCTATTTTCTCTTTGTCTTTAACCTTTGCCATTTTAATTATGATGTGTCTTGGTGTTGGCCTGTTTGGGTTCATCTTATTTGGGACTCTCTGTGCTTCCTGGGCTTGTATGTGTATTTCCTTTGCCAGGTTGGGGAAGTTTTCCATTATTATTTCTTCAAATGGGTTCTTGATCCCTGCTCCCTCTCTTCTCCTTCTGGCACTCCTAAGGTGTAAAGGTTGTTATGTTTGATATTGTCCCAGAGGTCCCTTAAACTGTCTTCATTTCTTATTTCTTTATCCTTTTTGCTGTTCCAATTGGGTGTATTCTGCTACCTTGTCTTCTAAATCACTGATTCAATCCTATGCTTCATCTAATCTGGTGATTCCTTCTAGTGTATTCTTCATTTCAGTTATTGTATTGTATTCTTTGTTTCTGACTGGTTCTTTTTTATAATTTGTATGTCCTTCCTTATGCTTACTATCTCTTTTTTGAAATTATCACTAATTTCCTTAAGAATTCTTATAACCAGTGTTGTGAATTCTGTCTCTTTTAAGTTGGTTGCCTCCACTTCATTTGGTTTGTTGTTTGGAGTTTTCTCCTGTTCTTTTATTTGGGACATGTTTCTTTATTTCCTCATTTTGTCTGCCTCCTGGGTTTGCTTCTGTGTATTAGGTAGATCTTCTATGTCTTTCAGTCTTTGCCAAGTGGTCTTATGTAGTATATATCCTGTGTGGTCCAGTGGCGCAGTCTCCCTGATCACACACAACTCAGTCTTTCCCTGTATGCCTCTGGTACCTCTTGAGTTGCTGCCCCTCTGCCAGAGCCCAAAGTGAGTACTTGCTAGCGAATGAGTCTGTGTGTGGGCCCTTTAAGAGGATGTTTGGGTTTCCAGCCACCTTCCATCTCACAGGGATGGATGAAATCCTCACTGATTTTTACCACCAGATGTTATGGGGACTCCTCTTCCCAGCACAGGACGCCTGGGCTGGGGAGCCCAGTGTGGGGCTGGGACCCCTCACACTTCAGGGGGAACCTCTGCCACCAAGATGTCCCTCCTGGTGCTCAACCACTACATGTAGGTTTGGGGTCAGCCCATTTTGTGTCTCTGTCCCTCATCCCAGTCTCGCTGTGGCCTTTTCTTTATATCCTTAATTAGAGGGGTTCTGTTCAGCTAGTCTTCAGATGATTCTCAAGGTTGATTGTTCTATAATTTAGTTGTAATTTTAATGTGATCATGGGAGGCAGCAGGCATAGCATTTACCTATTCCACCATCTAGGATCCATGTTCTGCTCTGCCATTTTTAAGATTATTGCTTCCATACTCATGTTTACCTGGAGGTCACAAGATGGCTTCCCCACCTCCTGCTTCACACCTACATTTCCAGGAGAAAGAAAAGGGAGGTAAAGGGCGTTTCCAAGTACCCCACATAGCAACTTTTATTTAAGACTGGGTCTCATGTCCATCCCTAGCTGCAAGAGAGGCTGGAAAATGTAGTTTTTTAGCTGGGTATATTGCTTCCTTGAACAAATTGCAGTTCTGTGAGTCAAAGGGGAGAAAAAAAGACAGGTAGAAAATTACCAATGTTGTCCCAATGCACAGACATCAATTCCTATGTATAAGGTGCAACCACATTCATCTGTATGTGGGATCTGACCAAATTAGGTCCCTAGAGTAGTTATGTAGCTTTATTTTTAAGCCAGTGACTCAGATTCTAGAAGTGATACATTTGAGAAAAAGCACAGTAAATTACCTTATTATAGAAGATTCCCTTTCTTCTTACTATACTAAGAAAAATCTGTTTCAAAGAAAGGAATGTGGGAGAGTATTCATCAAGTGGCAAAGAATTGAAAAGGGTGTCTGTGTGTGTGTATAGTGGGCGTAGAGGGGGAGAGGGGAGAGTGGGGGAATTGTGTCAAACATAATACATCCTCTTTCTTCTGTGAATGTAGACTTGGAAAACATTTAGAAGGTAAGTTAAATACCCCTAGGCAGTTTATCTTATACACCTGGAACTTGACGCAGCAGACACATTTGAGTTTAAGTGATCTACAATAATGTAGAGGACATTATTTTGCAGGGAGAAACTATCTTCCAGTATGTTCTTCCCTGTCTTCCACCCCCCTCCCCCCCGCCCCGGATATTTATCAAAAGTAAGATGTATTTCGAGTTCATTCTTGTGAGAATTCTCTTTTTGTACCTTTTTTCAATTAGTTTGGTGTTTATTAAAAAGTGGCTCTTCTTCAGCATGTTGGAATGTCTTACTGTCCTTTTAATTTGGTTTTCTGCTTGCTAATGCAGAACAGGAATGTGTCCTAAATTCCTGTACCATTTGGAAGAGCTTTCAACATCCCTGCTGCAAAGCATGTAACAAAGCTTCTCTTTTGGTACCAAAACAATTATCATCATGTAAAGACCCAGGATGCATGGCTTGTTTCTCCTGTTTCTTAGTAAGGCTACCATATTTTCTATTGCTTTCTACAAGGGGACTCAGAGTTATTACTGTGAAATCATTTATATTCTCAGTCTAGACTTAAACATGCTAAAGGAAGGATTAGACCAATAACTTGAACAATTTTTAATTCATATGCGGATGCTCAGGGCTAAAGGCCTTGGATGGAAAATCTATTTTGGTTAGAATGATTGAGATACTTATTTTAGCTTTCCAGTCAATTTGAGGATGTAAAAAAAGGAGTTTTATGGAGGATACTTTTTAAAAAATAAGTTGCCCCTTTTACTGCTTTTTTTTGTTCTTGGTGGATCCATAAAAAATTAAAGACCTTTTTATGGTTTTGCCATGCAAATAGTTTTTTTTACCTATGTCTCTGTTATAGCAGTTTGTTCAAGTCAAGATATTTGGCCTGCCTGGAGAGTTAAGAATTAGACTTTTTTTTTTTAATGTGAAAAACAATAAGACTGTGGAATAAATGGTATTAAAATGAAACATTACTTTTGGTAATTGAAAAATCATGTATTTTTGTCTCTTAATCTTCAGAACAGTCTTATGAGCAGATTCTATTAATTTTAATGTGTTAATGATGCAAATGAGGTTTAGTAAATTCAAGAAAATTTGCATGGTAACTGATGAGGTTAAAATTTGAACTTGGGCAATCTGACATTAGCTTCTTGCTACTAAAAATGTGCTTTCTGGACCATAAACATTGACGTCACCTGGGAGCTTGTTAGTTATGAACATTTGGGCCCCATCCAGGCCCACTGAATGAGAGTCTGCAATTCAACAAGATCTCCAGGTTATTTCTATAATCATTGAAATTTGAGTATATTGATTTAGTCCTTATTCTTTTTTTTATTTTTTGGGGGGCTCATGTGGGGGAGTCCCTTTTGTGTCCCTACAGTTAGAGTTAGGGATAGGGTTGGGTATAAGGGTTAGGGTTAGGGTTATATTTTGGGTTAGGGTTTAGTGTTAGAGTTAGGGTTTGAGTTCAGGTTAGGGTTAGGGGCTAGGGGTTGGGTTTAGAGGTTAGAGTTAGGGTTCGGGTTACGGTTCAGGTTAGATGTTAGGGTTAGGGGTTAGGGTTAGGGCAGGGTTAGTGTTAAGGTTAGGGACAAAGGGACAGGGTTAGAGTTAGGGTTAGGTGTAGGGACAAGGGTTAGGGTTAGGATTAGGGTTAGGGTTAGGTTTAAGGTTGGGTTAGGGGTCTAGTCCTTATTCACTACATATAATACACTAAAGCCCTGGATTGTGAGTAACTTCTTTTATGAGTGTTCTGCAAGACGAGCAAACATTTCTAATACATTTTAACATGGTAAATGAGCGATGTTTTGCATATGAGTAGTTTGTTTCTGGAACGAATTATGCTCACAAACCAAGGTATTACTGTATCCATAATATAACTTCTTTTTAATTTATTATATTACATGTAAACATCATGGGCATTGTTAATACAAAATATTAATAAACTTGATTGTGGTTATTAAAAACATTGGTAGTGTCTGCTTCATTATACTTAGAATCGGGGCAGAAACTTGTCTGTTCTGTTTGTTGCCCTTTGTAGGTATTACTTAGAAAAATACTTTTAAGAGACTCCATTTCCACCCTAAATTTTCATTTTTTTCATTTCTCAAATCACATAGATTTAAAATGCTTCATTCTTACGTGTCGTAAGAAAGGAAGATGAAAAATAGCCCTTCCTTCAAATTCTCTATATAAATCTTCCATCTGTTGATCACTAGCGAAGTGCCAGACTTGTGTGTGTTATCTCAGGAAATAACCACAAATATCGATAGACATTTGTATCACCACTTACTGACATGGGAATTTTAAGTTTAAGGTTTGATGTGAAAGCATTATTAACATAGGTGGCCAATTTTGTGCTTTTTAAAATCTGAGAATTATGTTCATGTAGCATCAATTGCATTGTTCCCCTGCGATGTAGATTTTATACTTTTGAAAAGTAGTGAAATGCTTTCGAGATCTGACTTTGCCATCTCACTCAGTTGTTAGAATAATAGAAATGAATAATAGACGCTGGTGATATGTGCATGTGACATTTTTTTGTTTTAAATTTTGCAGCGCTGGGATATGAAGCTCCGTCATCTTGGACTGAATAAAAGTGATTCTAGCCACAGTGATTCCACTCAGAGTCAGAAGTCTGGCAGGAACTCTAACCCCCGGCAAGCACACAACTAAATCCTGAAATGCAGAAAGAACATTAGTGGACTTCCTATTAAAATTGCGTTGCTGGACTAGCAAAGGAAAATTGCACTATTGCACGTCATATTCTATTTTTTTTTAAACCACAAAAGCCATGTGGTAACTGATATACTTTTATTTTCTCTTGTTTTCTGCTTTTCTCTTCCCTTCCTCTATCCCCTTTTTTGTGGTCTGAGTGCAGATCCTTAAATATATTATATGTATTCTATTTCACTAATCATGGGAAAACTGTTCTTTGCAATAATAATAAATTAAACATGTTGATACCAGAGCCTCTTTGCTGGAATAAATGTTAATTTACTGTTCTATACCTGGACTGGAAATGCAATATTGGACGCAAACAGAGAAAGCTAAATATGCTGTGCAGCATAGTTGGCTGATGTAATTACAGCCTCATTTTCTCATGCCTTTTGGGTATTCTCATGCGTAGGAAGTTCTACATGTTTATAAATGTAAAATAGCAGTTTGAAATCAAATGCCACACAGGCAAAGCAATCAAGCACCAGGAAGCATTTATGAGGAAAAGACACACAAGATGAATTATTTTCAAGATTGGCAGGAAGCAAAATAAATAGTGTTAGGAGTTGGGGAATGAACATTTTGCCAGACTGAGAAGCACAACTGAAACCAGTAGCTGTTGGGGCATTAACAGCAGCATTTATCTTTTGGTAATACATTTTATTTGTTTATGAATATATTAATCAGCATTAGGGAAGTGAATTATAACTAGACATCTGCTGTTACCAGCATAGCTCTGTTTCATTTGCTTCCTTTTAAATAAACCCATTGGTGTGACTCTTTTTTTTCTTCTTTAAAATAAATATGACTTGCTGCATTGGCTAGGGAAAGAGAAAGTATGTATGTGTACTAGGCTATTATTTTTAAAAGGCATATAGCTCTATTAAATGCTGTAGTTTGCAGGATGGTAAAAAGTGCAAGATTTGTGTGTGTGTGTGTGTGTGTGTGTGTGTGTGTGTGTACGTGCGTGTGTGTGTGTGTGTGCGCACGCGCGCACGCACAAGCGCGCTCACATTCAAGCTGGACTGAATTATAGGCCTATTCATTGGCCTGCATTTTATCATTTGGATTTGTGCTGTACAAATACATCTAATAAAAGGAATTATAGTTGTCAGGAGAGAGGTGACTGACTTGAATCTAATGCACATTCGCATTTCCTAAGCTGCAGTGCAATTCCCAGGGATCACGGGGAACAAATGATGCTTTTAAATCCTTCCATGGGATCCTTTGGAGCCTGTGCCAATCATTTGCAAGTCTCATTCCCTTTCATTTTTATGTCTGATATTAGAACCAAATTTCTAAGCTATGGTATGCTGAAAATAAAACACTTAAGAAGCAAAATCGTGTTGTGTTTCCTTCTGTAAGGACAGTTATTCAATAATGAAATTTATTACTGAACAAAACTTCCCTAAAATGATAAATAATGCATCTAAATTCTCTACTGGAAAAAAAACATTCTTGCCTTCTGATTGACTCCCAAACCCCAACAATTTCCTTAGTCTTAGAATATAAGAGTTCCCAACATTGCCTACATGAGGACTACATAGTTTTTCAGATGGTTGCTTTTGCTGTCTGCCCTTTGGGCTTTATTCTCAGATGGCTGGGGCATCTCTTTCTAGATGCTGCTGTTGTAGCCTTGAAAAGGTGAGTTTGGGTGTCACTGGATAGCAAGTGCCTCAATGGAAGAACCGCAGCTCATGACCTCTCATCCTGATATTTATGCCTCAACTTGAGCTTCAAGGACGGAGGACTGGAAAATAGTGCTTCTGCATCGTGCTGTTTTTCTCATGCTTTTTTTAACGGTAACTATGGAAAGAAGGGTAAGAATTGACTGCAGGAGGTTTAAAAAAATTGGTTTCTCGAATCCAAAAAATATCACCAACTCTTCCAAAGCATAGTAAGAATTTTAAGGAATGAAATATTTTGATGTCCAATGAAAGCCCTGCCGTTTCCAGTCCCGGCAGTTTTCTTTTTTGGGGACTGTGTGTGTGTGAATAATTTTTGTGTAGAGATTTGACCCAACTTATGCTCAATACATACAGAATTATGGTATTTATAAGCAAGAGGACCAGATTCTAAGATTCAGCAGTGGTTTTGTTTTGTTTTTTGCCACCTCCCATTTTAATGATCTATACCAGCAATGCTTGATTTTGCTCATCTCTATGAGGCGCTGTCATTTTAAAGCCTCTAAGGTGTAAGGTTCATGGATAAAGTATGTTTGGTTTTTTAGTTTGATAGTTGCAACATCTTCATTAATAAATTATGTGCAGGGCTCTTTTGGGAGATGGTAGGATTTTTATCATGATGGTCATTTCTAGTCAGACTGCAAAACCATTTCTACTCTAATTGTGATAATAAAAATAGATCTCATTAGTGACCCTCTCCAGGCTTTTCTGACAGGTGCTTTCAGAGCCACTACAATTTTAATATAGATGCATATTTGTCAATAACCTTGAGACTTATTAAAATTAATTAAAAAAATTTTTGGCAAATTATGTTCACCTACAGATTTTAATCTTTCTAGACATAACAAAATGTTAGATGCATGCTGAATAAACTAGTAAAAATTAAAATAGCAGCAAACTTGAATTCTCCTCATGGACATGTAAATATTTTACTGTGTCACATACACAGTGTAATCTGATTCAGTGCCATATGTTGCACTGAGCATTTGGGGGTGGGACAAATCCACGTCTTTCCACATCTGTTATATATTAAAGCAAATACAAAAATTATGATCACTGAGTAAATAGTACTTATTGCCTTCTGCAGGAAAGTATTTGCTATTATTTTTCAGAAAGGAAAATGACTAAAAAGTATTTCAAGATCGGTGTTTATTTAGGCTGTGAATTGCATTCAAGAATGTGGTAACAATGAGGTAAAGCAGATATCCCTAATACTATACTGAAATCCAACTGATAGAATTTTTAACTATGGTTCCCAGCTGTATTAATATTAACAAAAAACAGTATAGCCATGCCTTTGGCAATTATCTCTTTGGGGCAGTAATGTCGAAAAGTGGCTAGAATTCTATTAAAAACACTTGGATGTGTATTACCTCATAATCCTTGAATGTCTATGAAGTATTGTTATTTGCATTTCATAGATGAGGAAATCAAGGATTTAGAACTTCAGAGTTATGTAAGTAACAGATCCTTTTATTCTTATTTCCCAAGTTACGTGTTTCCCACCATTGTAATTGCTGATAAGAAAAATGTAATCTGACATTTAAAAAAAATGTAGTGTCAGGCATATAGCAGCTACTAATACTTTTTGTCCCTTAAACTGAGGTCTACTAACTGTATGTCAGTGTAAGTCCTAAATCTGACCCTAAATACCGTCACTTCCATTCTTTAGTTGTCCTTGCAAATCAAAGTTTCAATGGAATTTCATACAGGATGAGGTGAATGGACAATGAAAGCTATGCTTTTGGTATTGATAATTTAAAGATACATGATTCTAAGTAGAAAAAAATGGTATCTCCCCACTAAGTTCCCATTGTTCCTTGAATTTGGAGAAAACTATGGAGTTAATATTATTCAAGAAAGTTGAAGTTAAAAGTTGATGGTTACTTGGATGGGTGAGAAATGTGAAGGGATTAGCAAATACAAATTGGTAGCCACAAAATAGTCACAGGGATGTGAAACACAGTATGAGGAATATAGTCAATAATATTGTAAAAACTATGCATAGTGTCAAATGGGTACTAAATTTATTGGGGGATCACTTCATAAATTATATAAATGCCTAACCATTGTGCTGTACACCTGAAACTAATATAAAGTATTGAACATCAACTATAATTGAAATATATATACATATAGTCACAAGATGTAAAGTATGGCATAGGGAATATAGTCAGTGGTATTGTAAAAACTATGTACCACGTCAGATGGGCAGTAGACTCATTGGGGTTGTTACTTTGTGAGGAGTGTAAATGTCTAATCATTGTGTTGTTTTGTACACCTGAAATTAATCATAAACGTTGATGGTTACCATAAAACCAGAATAGCTACTTTCCACTGGGAACAGAGATTTAATATGTTGAAAGACAACTAAAGCTGTTCTTCTTTGGGTAAATTGCAGACATCATCCATTGTTTCTACTTTGAATGGTGGGTGTTGAGAACTCAAGGAGCTGTGAAGAAGGAAAGGATGTGCTCAGGAAAGCTTGTCCAGGGCCCAAAGGGACACATTTATGGACTGTTGAGTAAGCTGACTCAGAAATGAAATGAAATGAAGAAAAGAACTTTCCACTAACAACAAGGATGTTGAGTGGGATGACATCACTTATTGTGGTAGTGCTGGAGCCGCCCTTTCAAACAGCCACCACCCTTAACATCATGAAATGGGATTGAGGTTATGATTGTAGGGTTGAATCCTAGAAAATTTTAGGGCATCAGCAAGGATGGGTTGGGGTGATCAGTCGTACTTAGGAGAGCCCTGAGACAGTCAATAATTTGTGATATAGGGAACAAAGTATTGCTTATTTATACTGGATGGTAAGTAAAGCTAATAAATAAAATCAGGTTCACTCTAATGCCTTTATTTCTACATTGTTTTGGTGACTGGGGGAATCAGGGCCTCCCAGGGATGGGATCTCTGTCCTAGCATTGAAGAACAGAATTTGGGGTGAATAGTTATAACTTCATTGGGCAAAAGAATATTTGACTATGAACAAAATTCATACTAAAAGATTCTTTTGCTATGACCTATAACTCCAGTGATATATCAAAGCTTTAAAAAGAACCATGAAGCTCAGAAGTATCATCCCTGCAAAGACTGCATTGTCCTGTCTGCACACGTTCATGTCTTTCCCTCTTGGCCAATCTTACCTATTCTGCTTCTCCTATTGCTTGACCAGTTAAACACAAGCCTGCAGTAAGTATATTCAGAACTGCTAGAAAATCAAGCATTAAGCAAGTAGAAGAAATTTCCTGACATTCTTTAGATTCGTTGACCAATATCCATGAAGCACCTCTAGATTTCTTTCAGGTCACCAGTGTAGGCCATTTTGTCCTGAGCTGCTTTAGCACACACAATACCACCAGCCTGGAACTATGTCTGCCCATGACTTTTTTTTTTTTTTTTCTCAGAGTCAGCACTTTGAGACATTTCATCATTCCAAATGGCTTCCTTACCACACCTTGAAATGAGCTTTGAAGTTAAAATACGTGGATTCAAATTCTCACTTTACTCCTTATTTGGCTGCTTAACTTACTCTCTGAGTTTTAAGATCAGGTATGTTGAACTGGGCAGACCCTGTTTAGCAGTGCATAGAGCATGGTAGGAGCTTATTGAGAATCAGAATAAGTCACCTTTTGCTCTTGAATGCTCTCTGTGAGGTAACAGTTCTCAAACAGAGCTCTAGTGAGTGCTTACCAACCCAAGAAGAGAAAGTATCTTCTAAGACATCCTGCTCCCTGTGCTGTTCTCTCTCTTCCATTTTTAAGATGCTAGATTCAAAATAAACCCTTAAAATCACCCCCAAGTTGCAGACTGAAATTGTTTTCATTTTCCTCCTCCAGCAAGGCAGGTCTGCTTAGAAGAAGCATGATCAGGAGACCAGATGAATACTCATTTGATTTTTAAAAAGGTGAGATTCTGGAAAAACTACATGGTACTCAGTTCTACAAAATATATATCACTGATACAAATTTACTTGTCATATTCCAAATATTATAATTTATTTTGGAAATTAAAAAAACCAAAATATTTCTCCAACTACTTTTCAATACCAAAGATAGTAAACCTATAGAAAGCTTAATATCTTTA